AGTAGGCTTATGAGGATGGGTTATGTGCGTTTATGCTGTGTATGTTTTGATCTATGTTGGTGTTTACACTTAGAGAAGTACAGTGTGTGTGTGCGTGTTGTGGATTAGGGAGATGGTGATGGTGGTTTCTGGTGTTTGTGTGTGTGTGTGGCCTGAGGGAGATAGTGTTGTGTGTGTGTGTGTGTGGGTGTGTGTGTGGTTGTGTGTGTCTTAGCGAGATGGTGATGGTGGTGTGGCGTGTGTGTTTACGTATTTCTGTGAGCGTTCGCACGTGCTTTTGTGCCCGTGTACGTACGCATAGGTGTGAGTGCTCGTGTTTGCCAGAGCGTATTTGAGTGTACAGGGCATTGTTGCACCAGAGGTATTTTGTTTCGACGGCAAAGGTTCCACATTATTTTTGCCGTTTTACTTTTTTTTTCTTTCTTTCTTTGCTTTTCTTTTGTTGATCGTCCATGGCGAAGAAGGGAGCAGGGGAAGGAGGAGGGGAGGGGAAGGAGGAGGAAGGTAAGGAGGAGGGTGCAGGGGTAAGGACGGAAGGAGGGAGAAGGGAAGGACGGAAGGAGGGAGGTGAGAGGAGGGAGGAAGTAAGGAGGGAGGAGGGTGCAGGGAAGGACGGAAGGAGGAGGAAGGAAGGACAGGAGGAGGGAGGGGATGGGAGGGTTTGCAAGGTCTCGAATGGTTTTTCTTTTTCCTTCCAATTGCTCTTTAGAACGGAAGGAGAGGGGGCGGGGAGTGCTACTGGTCTTTTGTTTTTGTTTTTTTGTTTTGTTTTTACGTGTGATTTTTTTTTTTTTTTTTTTTTTTTTTTTTTTTTTTTTTTTTTTAGGTTAAGAATGGAAAAATGGGGAGCGAGGAGAGGGAAGAGGGAGAAAGAGAAGGGGTGGATAGGGCGAGGGAGGAGGGGGATGGGGTGAGGGAGGGGAAGAGCGAGATGTGGGAACAAGAGAGAGAGAAAGAGAGAGAAGAATAAGAGAGAGAGAGAGATTAAGGAAGGGGTTAGAAGTACAGAACGGGTAAACAGTGCTTATGAACACAGATTTAAGGTAGGGAAACATGGTTAAAAAAAAAAAGTGAGGAAGGACAGACGATAGACTGACAGAAATATGGACAGACAGACGAACGGACGGACAAACCCCCTCCCTCCCCCTCCCCTCCCCTCCCCCCAGTGACCTCAGATAAACAAGAGCGAAAAGCTGCCCTTATCTCCTCACCACAACGACACGCCCCTTGCAACGACACGCCTCTCGCGTCTCTACGTCCTTCTGCTTCGCCACGAACTCTTTCCTCGCCCCTCGCCTCGTCACGTCATCGCGCCCCGCTTTCGCCTAGCACGCCGCCTTTCGTCACGCTCGCCTCGCCGCTTCGCCACGCCCCTCGCCTCAACACGCCAACTGCGCCTCGTTCACGCCCCTCGCCTCGCGCCCCCGCTGCGCCACGCCCTCGCCTCGTCACGCCCCCCGCCTTCGTCACGCCCCGTCACGCCCCTCCTCGTCACGCCCCTCGCCTCGTCACGCCCCCCGCTTCACACGCCCTCGCCTCGACACGCCCCTCGCTCGTCGCGCCCCCCGCTTCGCCACGCCCCTCGCCTCGTCCCGCCCCCCGCTTCGCCACGCCCCTCGCCTCGTCACGCCCCCCACTTCGCCACGCCCCTCGCTTCGCCACGCCCTCGCCTCGTCACGCCCCCCGCCTCGTCACGCCCTTGCCTCGTCACGCCCCTCGCCTCGTCACGCCCCCCGCTTCGCCACGCCCCTCGCCTCGTCACGCCCCCCGCTTCGCCACGCCCCTCGCCTCGTCACGCCCCTCCCTCGCCACGCCCCTCGCCTCGTCACGCCCCCCGCTTCGCCACGCCCTCGCCTCGTCACGCCCCCCCGCCTCACGCCCCTCGCTCGTCACGCCCCCCCGCTTCGCCACGCCCCTCGCCTCGTCACGCCCCCCGCTTCGCCACGCCCTCGCCTCGTCACGCGCTCGCCACGCCCTCGCCTCGCCGCTCGAGCTCCAGCACGCAAGAGGCGCGAGCGGGGTCGGCGGGAGGTGAGCCCCGGATTCAAGAGGATCGACCCGTAGAGGCGATCGCCGACACCGCCGCCGCCGTCGCCGCCGCCGCTAACCTCTAACC